TATTTACAGTATAATAATATACAGTTATTTTATAATCAAACATATATAAAACATAAAAACAATTATACTGATATGTAAAGTCAAAATATCTTATAACAAACGTTTTATTCTTATTTTAAACAGTTGAGATTACTTTTAGATTCGATCGAACGGATGAAAATCAAAGCCAAATATATCACTATTTTTTTTCCCGTACATCCGTAACGGTTATTATTAAATATGATTTTTATTTTTTTTTATTTTCAAAAATTAAAATAATTATATTTAGAAAAATATTTAAGCCATTGTTTTAAAAAAAAAACTTAGGTGTTGTTTGGTTCATGCGGAGGAATAAAAATGAAAATGGGAATGAATTTTCATTTTTCTCAATTTAATATGGAATGAAAATTTTGGGCTTATGAGATAATGAGCTCATTATATTATACTAGAAGGGTACTCGCACAATGCAACGAGATATATCTCGATTTTAATGTTTCGTTTTATTTTTTTGGTCTATGTCGATGTTATAATATGAATTTATGTGGTTTTGAGCAAACAATAATGTTTTTTAATATAAATTTGAAGATATCATAAAATTTTAAAAATATATAAAATTTCTCATTTTTTTGTATAATTTCTTTAATTCAATTTTTTATTATAATTTACTTTGGGTTTAATGACGAAGTAATTTATTTTTGATTTAATAATATAGTTTTTATAAAAATAATAACTAAGTATTCTGTTATAACTCAACATCTTTCTAATTATATTTTAAATATATTTAAAATGAGAATTTTATCCTATATTTGATTATATTTATCCACAGTTAATTACACGAATTCAAATATGAAGCTTAATAAGTTGTATTTATGCATAATTTACTTATGATCTTGAATTTTAAGTAATATGCATCAATAAACAGTACTTCATGCATAAAAAATGGTTTTTAAGAGTTTTTGTCAGATGCTTTATAATATAGTATAGATATAAATAATACCAAATAGTTTCTTTTATTTATACTGCTTAATACCTCTAATCAAACACTCTTTAATTATTATGATAAATATAAATTGTCTTGATTATCTTTAATTTTAGTGATGATTTGATTATACAGATTCAAAGTGGACCGCTTATACAGATTAGTTACGTAACTGGTTCTGATCAAAACAGATAAATTTATCGAATGATGTGTCCAATCGAATTAACCAACAAACATTTTCTTTATGTAAATTTTAAGTTTTGATAAACAATTTATATGGTAAATATGATTAAAAAAACTATTATTGCAATAAACATTTAATTTCTATAAATAGATGAAATTTGGAATGTTATAAACCGCATGAAAAAGTAACATATTTTAACTTGATTCATATGTAACGTACTTTCAAAACTTTCATTTTGGTAATTAAAATGTAAAGTTTTAAACATTTAAGTATTGAAGACTAATTTAGATTAAAAAAAAATTCATGTCACTAACCACGTCAGCAAATAATACTGAGTTGGATACCACATCACTCGTCACATCAGCATGATAACCGGTTAATGCTTCAACTCTTTACCCAGATACTTAAATGTTTAAAACCTTACATGTTAGGTACCAAAAATAGAAGTTTTGAAAATATGTTACTAAAATAGGAATCAAGTTAAAGTACGTTTTTTTTACAATCTGCCCTTAATTTTTTTAAATATAAAAATAAATACAATAGATCCATTTTTTACGTTGTCTTCTTTATCGAATATCAGTAATTCAGATCAAAATAATTATAAATTATTTTAAAAACACGTATTCAAGCCAACTGTACTTGGCATCAATCTAATTGATACCATTTTTTTCGGTTCATAAATGTTGGTATTGGTTTTGTACCAATTCCGACTTCGATTATGCAATCAGATTAATAACTGGTTTCATGACTAGAACTTTATAATATCTCCAACAGTATCGTATGATTTATTTAAAATGGAGAATAAAAAGTTAAATTTCTAAAAAAAAATACAGTTAACTTCTAACTTCGGTATATACTCTATCATGGAGATTTCAACATTAATTATATTATTAAAATATTTTATAATTTTATTATCCCAACACACTTTTAAAAAAAAAACTTCATATAAGATAATGAGAAAATTGCATCAAAATGGAACAAACTTTCACATGATTCCTATTTTAGGAAACTAACTTTTAAAATCATCATTTAACAGTTTGGAGCAAAGTTTTTATTTATTTAAAAATCTGATTGACCTGTTAACTTGCTAATAATGACATGGATTATTTAATAATGCATCTCCATCTATCTGGATCACTTGTTGCGTCTGTTATATTAAGAAAGAACTGTATGAATCTGGGTTTTTGCTAATTAAATAAAAAACGTAAAACTCGAAGGAAACTTCAATGGAGGGTTTGATTCAACGAACTGTAATATTCAATGACGATGGAATCTTCAACAGATCGATTCAATGGACTCAAAAAAGCCATCAAACAAAAAAATGGTTTTGTATGAATGATTAGGTGTTTTTTTTATTGTATATCATAAAGTTCATGATTTATAAAAGAAATACGGGTTCTGTTCTATTTTTGTTTCGTTTTCTCGTTCATCCACCTCCAAGTTTTATTCGGTTGTTCATGTTCATCGTATGCGGATTGATTAAGAAACCTTCATAATAATTATTTTGATGACATGGAAATTAGTTAATAATGTGGACTTTTTTTGCCATGTCATTTGAAGTTAACCAGTTACCTGTTGAACAAGTCAACTAAGGGGCTGTTTGTCAATTGCTGAATGATTTGGTGCAGAATGATTAAGAGGTTCTCATGATATAATGCAAAATGGAATATAATTGTTTGGTAATTGTT